TCGCTCAAGAGTTTGAGCTCTGAGCAACAGCGGTTCGAGTCAGCCCGAGCTGAGCAGCCGTGAGCTGCCAACAGGTGGCAGGATGGCTCAGCTATAAAAAAAAAATAATAAATAAATAAAACAGGTAAAGCAAGTCAAAATGTGATTCAGTCAATCAGGTATTTATTGTGTGCCTACTGTGTGGACAGCACAATTCTAGAATTTAGGATAAAAATAATAGGACTGCTTTTAAGGAAGTTTTATATTAGTTGGAAAAACAAAATAGAATACATGCTCACGTGAAACATTGAATCATTTAAGACTATGATTTTGTACTAAAATCTGGATGATAGCAAGGTCACGTTACTTTAGAAGTTTCTGCATATTAGTGTTAACTTTTGATTGAATTTTTAAAATTAGAGTTTAGAAACAGCACGTAAGTTCAGTCTGCCTTTTATTTGTATTTTATTTGGCCTGCACAATATTTTAGGGGGAAAATGAATTCTTTGCCAACATCACATAAAATTAGTCAAAAGATATCACTAAAAATTTATATTCTGGTTTCTTTTTGTTTTGTTTTGTTTTGTTTTTAGCTGAGCCATCCTGCCACCTGTTGGCAGCTCAGCGGTATTCTGGTTTCTTTTAAAAGTACATTTTCAACAGGTGGCAGGATGGCTCAGCTAAAACCAAAAAAAAATACATTTTTTTGGCAGCACTAAGCAGATATTTCGCTAAAACGTTTGTTGGTGCATACTTTCTAGTTCACCACCATCCTAACCACTCTGTTATATCACATGGTCTGTTTCATTAACTTATTTTGCCCACCTTTCCCCCGTAGACCTTTAAATTAGATAATTCCACCCTTCCCCCTTTGTGCAGAAGGGGACAGTAAGGCCTAAAACAGTCACACAGCCATTTATTGGTGGTGTCAGCTAGAGCAAAAATGTCCTCAGTCCCCCAATCCAAAGCTCTTTTAACTATTAAAAGAAATTGTAGAGGAAAACATGTTATTTTCCTTATTTTTAATTTGGCCTGAAATACTTTCTGAGCCATTAAGAAAAATTATAAATTACCTACCTACCTGCCACTTCCACTTATCACTGCTATTCATAAATGCAAATTTATTTATCAGCTAAAACGAACAATTGAGTATGAGATTAATTGAGATACTTCTGTACTTTTGTGAGTTGTTCTGAGATTATGGACCTAAGATTGGTGCTGTCTACCAAAGTTTCTAATGTTGGTGTCTCAAAAACAAAAAAACCTGATAAAGTGACTTGAGACATAGTAGTTTTTTCTCCATTGTTTCATATTGAAACAGTGATAATAGAATAAGCATCATCAGTTGGTTCCATTTGCTTAACTAAGTTTGTAACATCATGGAAAGCAGCAGCAAGTTTTAAAGAAGTCAACGCCTGTATATCTACGTAAGCCTGTCACGTAATGCGTTCTCAGTAAACATGTTCTGTCTTTTACCTGGTGACCCTACATACCTTTTTCAATGTTTTATTTTGTTAAAGGACTTGCTATTGTGACCAAATATATTACAAAGGGCTGGAAAGAAGTCCATGAATTGTATAAAGAAAAAGCACTTTCTGTGGAGACTGAAAAATTATTAAAGTATCTGGAGGCTGTAGAGAAAGTGAAGCGCACAAAAGATGAGCTGGAAGTCATCCATCTAATAGAGGAGCATAGATTGGTGCGGGAGCACCTTCTAACAAATCACTTAAAGTCTAAAGAGGTAAGTGAATTCTAACATGTTACAGCATGTGGTTAAACGTGGGTCATTGTGACAGGTATTCAAACGGTAAACTTTGGGTGACTACATATTAATTCTCTAAGAAAAACTTTAAATATATCTTGAAATTAATGTTTTCTTTAAATACCTAACACTGCCCAGATCTAGTTGGCATTCAATAAATATTAAACAGCATGTTAGTTTATTTGATAAACCTTTGACCAACTTGCACGAATTTTTATTTAGAAGGTTCCCTAAATCGCAAAAGAAAGCCTTGGAGAATATATTAGTATTACCACTGATGTAGCTATGTTATACTGATTCATAATTCCTTCTGTTTCGGCCTGCGTTATTGCAATAGGTATGGAAGGCTTTGTTACAAGAAATGCCTCTTACCGCATTACTACGGAATCTAGGAAAGATGACTGCTAATTCACTGCTTGAGCCAGGAAATTCAGAAGTATCTTTAGTATGTGAAAAGCTGTGTAATGATAAACTGTTAAAAAAGGTAAGCATTACCTGGGTTAGCTACCACTAATTGAAAAAAATTGGCTCCTAAATTTCAGGGATGTAGACAGCATGTTTTTTAGGTATCCCGAGACTTTTATCACACCAAATTGCATTTTGACTCTGAAAATAAGATTAATATGTCCTCATTTTTCTCTTTATGGAATTTATTAGCTACAATAACAAATGTCTGTGACACATAGTTACTATTTTTCATTTGAATTTTGCATTTACTTTCTGTCTGTGTCTTCTTTCCAGGCTCGTATATATCCATTTCACGTTTTAATTGCATTAGAAACTTACAAAACAGGTCATGGGCTCAGAGGAAAACTAAAGTGGCGCCCTAATGATGAAATTTTGAAAGCTTTGGATGCTGCTTTTTACAAAACATTTAAGGTGATGGTTTGATTTTTTTTTATGACTCAGGACTTGATATCTTCTGTAGAAACACATCTTAAAGATAGTACTAGTTTAACCATTTTGATTAGCTGTTCATTTGCCTTTCCTTAGTTCATGTGAAGGTGGATGCATAATTGACATTGTAAGTTTATGAGTAAAGTATTTCTCCCTGTTTTTGGGCAACAACTAATTATCCTGAGATAATTTTGACAGGTTTTAAATTACCAAATTTAAAGTTCTGCATCATGGTGGAGTCCTTTGACTTGGTCCCCTGTCCTCCCATTTTCCTGTTAATCAGTGGTGTATGTCCTATGTCTTCATAGGAAGCGATATTAAGAATGGAAAGCCTATATCTGAGCCATAAGTAAAAATTTTGGGTTTTAAACATCTCTTGCAATTTAACAAAATACTAGCAAACAAACTCAGCAGCAAATTAAAGGGATTATAAAAGCGAGATTTATCCTCAGCATGCAATAATGGTTCAATATATGATAATGTAATACATCACATTAATAGAATGGACAACCACATGATCACCTCAAGCAAAAAAAAATTTGACAAAATTCAATACACTTGCATTAAAAAAAGAAAAACCAAAAATAGAAGTGACCTTCATCAACATGATAAAGGCCATATATTAAAAAACCCAGTTATCATTGTACTCAATGGTGAAAAATTGAAATCTTTTCCCTTAAGAGCAGGAACAAGATAAGAATACCCACTTTTTCCACTTAGTACTGAAGATTCTAGCAGTTAGACATGAAAAAGAAATAAAAGGCATCCAAATTGGAAAGGAAGAAAATTATCTCTGTTCTCTAATAACATGATCTTATATGTAAAAAAAACTTAAAGAATCCACAAGGAACTACTAGAGCTAACAAATTCCGCAAAGTTGCAGGATATAAAATCAGCAGGCAAAAATCAGTAGTATTTCTTTCTATATGCTAGCCCTGAATAATCCAAAAGCTAAGTTTTGGAAAATGTTTCCATTTAGAATAGCATCAAAAAGAATAAAAGACGGGCCGGCCGAGTGGCGCGATGGTTAAGAACT